TCTTCCCTTCCGAAACTCCAGCGATTAATACAAAAGTTTCTGCTAAGCATAACAGCCAGTATGTTTTCCTGTGATCCTATTGCTATCCATGGCTGATGGCTACATTATATCTCTTCAGGTTGGGTTTCAAATGTGCCTGGAACTTTTTCTCCTTTCCTACTTCAAGTTGAGCCAGTTTTTTCTTAGTTTAGTTGAAAACCAATATACTGCATCATATTGAAGAGAAAAGAGATAGAAGTTGTTAAGGATTTCACTTTTACTTTCATCCACAATCATCAAGGCCTAGCAATTTAACGATCAAATGACATACAACATTGGGTACATATGCTGTGGAAGGACTTTTTAAAACATTAAAAAGCAAACTTCTCACACTCATGGCTAAGGTTTCCCTGACGCAAACCATGGTGTTTTCCTTCACCTCACTCATGTGCACGGGAAAGCTGGACAGACCCTACCTCGGGCAGCGAAGAGCTGGGGTATTTGAGTGACGGGGTTGGTCAAGAATCCTGACGACTCTGGACTGCAGTCAAAACAAGCAGATCTGCTTTAGAGGAAGCGCAGCAAGAATACTGCTCGGAAGTGAGCATGGTGAGACTTAGTCCGGCACACGCTGGACATGCTGTCAGAAAGGCCCCATCCATGGAATAGAACACCATGGTTGATAAAGCAGCATCACTTTAAAAGAGGAAGGCTCTCAACCAGATGGACTGCCTCTGTGGCTGCCCATAGTCCCAAGTATAACAAGACTGTGCGACCATGACAGGGTCTCGCGGGACTTCATTCTCCCAGACACAGGGTCACGGCAAGCTGGAACCTACTGGACAGCCACTAGCCGCGACAAATTCATTTTGAGACCAAAGGGATAGACTTGCCTGTCTGTGGTCCAATATCCCTTAGTTTTATGCTTATTATGAAGCCTCTAAAAATGTCATGTAAGGGGGATATTTAAAGATAATGTAACTTTTGCACAATCTTTTGAAGACCCTTCGTCCATACTGGTCCGGAAACACTGATTTGGAAAATGGTGAGTTATCTGAGTAGACACAGAACCATTAGATATCATCTTTGAATTTTGAAAGGACAATGCTATCAATGCAGCAGACAACTGACTTTTAATTTAAAGACCTATATTCCACCTTGTGAAAAAATGCAAACTCGTATGAGTTCATGGTCATGTAACTCTTGCTAACATATTGCTGTTATTCGTAACTCAGAATGTCCTCAAAATACACTGACTGAGTGTAAGAAATTATCCAACCTGCAAAATTCCAAATAAAAAGTAATCACAATAAAAATGAAAACATTCTGCTACAGAAGCAGAAAGACTATTATGTAATTCCACTGCTAGCATTTCTCAGATGAGGAATTACATGTTTTTCTATTTATAGACTAGGTGAGAAAGCATCTACAAAGGATCACATTTATTTGTATCCATAGCATTGTAATAATTTATTTCTTATATATGGAGGGAAAATTAGATTTACACTATCCTTAGATCATATGTAGTACACAGCACATTTCAGTACCCAAATCTATTTTAATCCAAACTGTATTCACAAATAAGATGACATAAATGAATGTATAAATTCAGTGCACTTCATAGTTATTCACAAGCCACCAGCGCAGAGTCCTTCCAAGCTGACTGGAAGTAAGCACTCCCTGTTAAAAGTTCTGTTGAGCAAGTGAGTCCCATGTATCCATATTCTACACCAAAAGGAGCGCTATCAGGACTTCGTAATGAAATGTTTCCCATCATAGATGGAATCTAATTCATCTATTTCAATCTGTTTCTGTTTCTAATCGTCCATGATAGATATTCAGTTATTTTCTTTTTTCCTCAGGAGAGTTTTGTCAATTTTACTTCACCCCAATATATGAAATGTTAATAAGATGCCAAACAAAAAGTAAAGAAGAGAACTTTCCAGCTCATTATGTGATATGTTTGTGTTGATATGTGTGAGGCTATAGATGTTGCATTTAAGGTTCATTGGGGCAGCAGAATTGGGATTGTGGCTTCTTCTCCTAAACTCTTATTGAAATCCATTCAGAGGAAGTGTTAATATCACATAGTTTCAAATCATGTAACCCCAACAATTTTAGATATAGGTTTTTATCAAAGATTTCTCATAGCTAAATCCGCAATCAATCTTCATGGGAGCAGTAGTAAAAACAATCAAAATAGACATTTTATTGGGCAAAACTGTTGCACAAAACTTTATAAAGTGTTTAGGAGCAAGGATGTCATTTTAGGCATAAAGTACACCTGACATAAATGGTGTTTTCAATCACCTCCTATAGATATGAAAGTTGGATAATGAATAGGAAGAGCACAGAATAATTGAAACATTTGAATTGGCATATTAATGAAGACTATTGAAAGTACTGTGGACTGTCAGAGAAAACAACACATCTTGTCTTGCAGGAAATGCCATGAAGTCTGTTGGGTCAGAGTGGCCCTATGAAGAACACAAGGGAATGCTACCCGGCCCTGCACTCACATCACACGTGTTATGTTTGAGCCAATTGAGTTGCAGTCACCATGCCAATCCCTCATTGTGAAAAGGCTCCCTATTTTTCACTGCTCTTCTACTTTACCATGCAGGATGTCCTGTTCCAGAAACTGATCTATCTTGATAACATGTCCTGAGTATGTGAGACAAAGGCTCATCATCCTTACTTCAAAGGAGCATTATGTTACACTTCTTCCAAGATAGATTTGTTTCTTCTTCTGGAAGGCCATAGTACATTCAACCTTCTTTGCCAGCACCATAATTCACATTCATGAAGTATTTTCAGGTCTTCCTTATTCAGTGTCCACATTTCACATGCATAGGGTTGATTAAAAATATCATGGTTTGGTCCAGGCACACTTTAGTCTTCAAAGAGACTCCCTTGCTCTTCAACATTTTAAGGAGGTCTAGTGTAATATATTTACCCATTGCAACGTGTCATTGGATTTCTTGGGCTGCTGCTTCAATGAGCACTGATTGTGAATCCAAACAAGATGAAATCCCTGACAATTTCAATCCTTTCACCATTCATCATGATGCTACCAATGAATCCAATTGTAAGGATTTTTTATTTTCTTTACATTAAGTTGTAATCCATACCAAAGGCTGAAATGTTTTATCTTCATCAACAAGTGCATCAACTCCTCCTCTATATCCATAAGCAAGGCTGTGCCACCAGCATATAACAGGTTATTAATAACCCTTCCTCTTATTCTAATACCATGTTGTTCTTCATGTAGTGCAGCTTCTCTGATGATTAAATCAGTGTACAGATTGAATGAGTTTGGTGAAAAGATGCATCCCTGATGAATACCTTCCCTGATTTTAAATCATGGGTATTCCTTTGTGGTGTTTGAAGGCTGGCTCCAATCCATGCAGAAGTTACACATTAACAAAATGAAATGTCCTTGGATTTCCATTCTGTTCAAAGCTATTGTAGCCATGACACTCTCAGTCAGCTGACATTGCATAATCAACTAAGCAGGAGTACCTTTTTTTTTTTTTTTTTTGGCTTTCCCCATGAGCCAAGCTCCTTCTGATGCAGGCAATGATGTCCCTTGGTAAATGGGAATCTGGGCTTGGATTTCTGGCCGCTCCCTTTCATTACAATGCTGCATGTCTTCAGAAAAATTCTATTTGCATTTGATATTTTTCATTGGAAAGGGTACACCTATTAACCTCTTCCAGTCAATTGGTGAGGTAGCTGTTTTCAAATTTCTTGGCATAGATGAGTGTTTGAGTGCTATATAAATTTACTGAAACATCACATTGGGTATTATGTCGATTCTGTCAATTCCTGGAGCATTCTTTTTGCTAATGTCTTTAATACAGCATGTACTTCTTCTTTTGGAACATCAGTTGTTGATCACATGCTACCTCTTGATATGATTGCAGCCTAGCCTTTTTTTATATAGTGACTGCTTATTGCTTCATCTCCTTTTGATGCTTCCTGCATCTTTCAAAAGTTTGTCTGTAGACTCTTTTAATAATGTGACTTAATTTTCAGCTTGTTACATGTTGAATATGTCCTTTTTTTTATTTCTAAACCTAGGTCGTTGCACGTTTCATCATATATTATTTTACGTTGTTTCTCAAGTTGTCCTGTGAAATGCAACTCTCTTACTTCATTACTTCTTCAGCTACTCACGAGCAGTTTTCTGAGTCTCTCTGACATCTTGGACCATTTCTTTCCTTTCCTGTGTTTTTAATGACCTTTGCTTTCTGTATGTATCATGATCTGGAGGTGCTGCCACGGCTTGTCAGGTTTTATGTCATTAGTGTTTAATGAGTCAAATATATTCTTGAGATGGTGTCAAAATGCAGGTGAAATATATTGAAGGTCCTTTTGTGTGTTGCATTGGCTTATATTAATTTCCTTCCACTTCAACCTTAACCTCAACTTTTATATAAGCAACTGATGGTCTGTTCTACCCTCACCCTTTGGCCTAGATTGAGCTTCTCTATTGCCTCTTCCCACAGTTATAGTTAATTTGATTGGTATGTACTCCATCTGGAGACATCCATGTGTATAGTCATAATTTATGTTGTTGAAAAACAGTATTTGTGATTAATATGTCATCAGTCTTGTAAAATTCTATCATACTATTTCCAGCTTCATTTCTATCACCAAAGCCATAATTTCCTTCCACTGTTCCTTCCACTTTGTTTCCAACTTTCACCTTTGGTACACTAATTATTATCAATGCATCCTGATTAGATGATTGATTAATTTGATGCTGAATAAATGGGTAGAATTCTTCAATTTCTGCAGCAGTTTGACCATACATTTGAATAATAGTTATATTGACTGGATTTCCTAGCATGCAGATAAATAATATCCTATTTCAGACAGTACTTTACTCCAAGATATATCTTGAAATACCTCTTTTGGCAATGAATGTACTGCTAATTTCCTCCAAGAACAACCGCTTCCTCTATCTTGATACCCAGAAAACGGAATACCCAGCTACCATTACTGCACATTAAAAATTCTGTTTGAAATTTAGCCTATATACTACAAAAGCATTAAAGTCAGTTTCCAGTTTACTTTTCCTTCTTTTGTAACCACTCAGACCAGTGTACAGACCTAATGGGAAAGGAAACTGGAAGGTTTTGAAGATTGTGACCTTTGTGCTGTTTTTAACTGAACATTTTGATGAAAGATCCTAGGGAAAATCCTGATTAAAGAGACAAGGTGCAGCATGGAATTTTGAATTCCTATGTAGTACAGAATTTCTGTAATAATTTAGGCTGATTAAAAACAGAAACTATTAGTGCTCAGAAAATCTTTAAAATATAAATAAAAAGTACCTCATGACATATACTTCTAAGCCAAGTGGTAGTCTAATTTAATAAGGACAGAATGGCTGCCTTGTGCAGTGTGCTCTTTTGAGAATCACATGTTTGGTAGAGGAATCTTCGGGTCAGTGAACTTTTTATTGAAGGATGAAAAGGTCAGAAAAGAGGGTGAGAATTGCACAACTTGAAGAACATAACCACAATGACTTGTACATGCAGAAATTGTTGAATTGATGTATACTCCACTCTATATATTCTCAACAAAAGAAATAAAATAAATTATTTAAAATGAAATAATAGGAAGTGGCCTGGGGAAAAACACCATGTAAAGCATTGTGTTAGACAGGGTTCTTTAGAAAAACAAAACCACAAGGCTAATAATTTTTATACATATATTTATACAGATAGATAGATATATAACATAAGAAATAAACACTTAATTAAATTATCAAGCAGGACCTTGATCACCTGTCTATTCCACAAAATTTCACACTAGTCCAATATATTGATGATATTATGCTGACTGGACTCACTAAGGAGGATGTATCAAAGACTCTAGATTCATTGGTACAATGTCTGCATATAAGAGGTTGGGAAATTAACACAGTGAAGATTCAGGCACCTTCCACCTCAGTAAAATTTCTAGGGGTCCACTGGTGTGGGGGATGTCGAGATATTCCTAATAAAGTGAAGAATAAGCTATTGCATTTGCCACAACCACCACCCCCCGCCCCCCCACCAACAACTAAACAGGAGGCACAACGCCTACTGGGCCTCTTGAAAAACAGCTGTTGGCCTGTTACTGGGCCTTGGTGGAGACTGAACGCCTCACCATGCACCACCAAGTCACCATGAGGCCTGAACTACCCATCATAAAATGGGTATTGTCTGACACACATAATCATAAAGTTGGACGTGTGCAGCAACACTCCATTGTTAAATGGAAGTGGTATATACAAGATTGGGCCAAAGCAGGACCTGAAGGGACAAGTAAGCTGCATGAAGAAGTGGCCCAAATGCCCACAGTCTCCACTCCTGTCACATTACCTCCTTTCTCCCAGTCTGCACCTATGGCCTCCTGTGGAGCTCCTTACCATACTTTAACTGAAAACCAAAAAAGTCATGCTTGGTTTACAGATGGCTCTGCACGATATGCAGGTGCCACTCGTAAGTGGACAGCTGCAGCACTACAGCCCCTTTCTGGGATCTCCCTTAAGGACAGTGGTGAAGGGAAATCTTCCCAATGGGCAGAACTTTGAGAAGTGCACCTGGCCGTTCAGTTTGCATATAAGGAAAAATGGCCAGATGTGAGACTGTATACTGATCCATGGGCTGTGGCTAATGGCTTGGCTAGATGGTGAGGGATTTGGAAGGAACATGATTGGAAAATTGGTGACAAGGAGGTGTGAGGAAGAGGTATGTGGATAGACCTCTCTGAATGGGCCAAGAAAGTAGAAGTAATAGTATCTTACATGAACGCTCACCAAAGGGTTACCTCTGAAGAGGAGGACTTTAATAATCAAGTGGATAAGATGACATGCGTTGTGGAGACTGGTCCTCCTCTCTCCTCTGCCACTCCTGTTATCGCCCAATGGGCACATGAACAAAGTGGACATGGTGGCAGGGATGGAGGTTATGCATGGGCACAGCAACATGGACTTCCACTCACCAAGGCTGATTTGGCTCCTGCCACTGCTGAGTGCCACCGCAAGTCCCTTTGGGGAAGGCTAGAGGGCTAGAAGAAAGACTAATAGTATAAATCTTCAGTGATGTAGCAAGGTCCTCCTTCAAAGGGACCCGGCCTTCCTCTCGTTCAAGGGGTTGTGGGTTTGTAAACTGGCTCAGGTCTGGGAATTGATTGAGTGATCGTGACTGTCTATTCTGCTGTTCACCTGATCTACCATTCTTGGGCCTGCATAGATCACGTAAATATTTAGTAGTTTTCCCATCTATTTCATTCCTAGGGACATTGTGGCTAAGTAGACAAAGCCATAATTCCACATGAGACAGGTTGCTTTGATTACTACAGAAACCTTGTTGTCTGTTATAACCACACCCACCCTGTCTCTGTTGATTCAGTGCTGACACCTGCCTTCTACCATCACGGGAACCAATCAGCCCCATTGTGGGCAAATGTCGGAGTTCGCTTAGGGAAGTGCCCACTATGCACATAAAATAGCAATTACAGGAGTCTTAAGAGATGCTGGGACCTACTTCACAAACTTGTTCCTTATGGTTGTAGTAAAGGGTATGTCCTCAGGACACCCCTTTTTTGGGTCTATGGGAATATTCTGATAGATCCATTCCAACATACCAATTTCTCTAAGCTTTTGGATACCTTCCTCTACAGTGTACCAAGGTAGGTCAGGTACTTCAAGTTAGTCTAATCTAGGCCATCTGGCAGTCCATGCTTCAGCGAACCAACCAAATAAAGAATTAGATACTCTCTTAGCCTTTCTCGCAGAGACATTAAACGAAGAATCTGTGTTTAGGGGTCCCCTATCCAGAAAGTCAGACTGGTCTAATATTACATTTCGTGCACCAGTATCCCACACCCTTAGTAACCATTCCCAGGGATATTCCCCAGGCTTCTGCTTGGACGTATTTGAAAACTTGAGCAGATCTTTGTGAGTATAATGCGCTTCTTCTTGGGTAATCATCTCAACCTCACCTTTAGGAGCTTTCTGAGCCTTAATTTTAGTGACAGGTCTAGCAGAAATAATGGATGTTGAGGGTGTTTCCTGGGTGCTCTCAGCAATATCTTGTAAGGCATCTCCCTCAGGCAATGCTACCAGATGCAGCCCCACCTGGCATTGGTTTGAATAGTTTGGCTAATCTGCTCAGGTGTGGATTGTGAATTAATACCTTCAGCTGGGAGGGGTTGATCTATTGACTGGGGCGGGTCAATTGTTTCTAGGGGCTCATTATCCTCCTCTTCTGGATCAACAGTCCATATGTCCCCTTCCCATGTTTCAGGGTCCCAACTTTTCCCAATCAATGCCCTCACTTTGGTATCAGACACTGCTCTAGATCTGCTATTCTGCCGATGTAATTCAGCCACTTGCACGAGACTCTGGACCTGGTTCTCAACAGTGTCAGCTCTATAGCTAGAGGAGAGAAGGCTCTCTTTGCAGCACAGATGGAAGCTTTCAAATCTGTTAGTCTGAACCTGAGTGTTTTTGAGCTCTGAAACCATCCCTCTCCTTAATCACACTTTCCCTTGTAAGAAGGACCAGCCAATCAGCTTCCCTATACTTGTCATCCTGACAAAACTCCTGGAAAATATCAATGATACGATCACTCAGAGCTTCTTCCTTTACCCAGCACCTCATTTTATCGGTGGTGCTACTGTAGGTATTAGCTTTGCTATTTCACACCCTGGATTAGTAAGAGTAGCAGACTTATCCATGATTATGGGAGTAAAAGTAACATTATTAGTGCTGTTAAGACTAACCAGGCTGGAGAGCCAATTTAAGAAGCCCATATTTGTGATTTTATTTCTCTAGAAGCACTCCTGGTACCAAATGTGTTAGACAGGGTTCTTTAGAGAAACAAAACCACAATGTGTTAGACAGGGTTCTTTAGAGAAACAAAACCACAATGCTAATAATAGATAGATAGATAGATAGATAGATAGATAGATAGATAGATAGACAGACAGATAATATAAAAAATAAACTATTAAATTATAAAGCAGTACAAATGGCTCAGTGCAACCCACTCCCTTGAGACATTGTGAGACACTGGCAGTCCTTCAAGTCTTGAGGGCCGCCAGGTAGTCCTCTGTAGAGCAATTCAGGCTATCCTGGCACAGGCAGGACACCAACAGTCAGCTAGATGACAGGGTCCGACAGTCCCCAGCTCAGGAAATGTATATTCCAATGGTGTGGCGAAGCAGGTTTTAAAGGAACCTCAAATTACAGTGACACAGTCCACAGGTTAGGTGTCAACAGGTAGTGTAGCTTGCAAACTGAGGCATAGAACAAGCAAGGCAGCTGCACACTGGTCTGATGATCTAAGAGCAAGAGACAAGAAAGGCGAGGCTCGCCAAGCCATTTATCGCTCTGCCCTTCAATTAATCCCACAGGTGTTTCTCGGCCAGGTTGATAAGCATCGGCAGTGTAAAGTATCAAGCAACTATTAGAGTCATCAACTTGATCTTTAACATGTTTCTGTTTCATATACTTTCATTATGAATAGCAATGAGATTTGGCACAAAAATTCAAATGATCCTTGTCTTTAAACATTTGGAGAAGTGTTACATGACACATAAATGATCGATCATTTTGTTACTCCAAAGGACAGAGAGATAATTTATGAATAAAAATAAATGTGATACATTTTAACATAGGAAAATAGTTTTATAACTTGAATTTCTAATCCTTGCATTCCTTGTCTTTTATAGTATTATGCACTTCACATGGCTAGAAGCCAGAAAAGCCTCTCCAATCACCATAAAATGAAGTCACAGAATAAAATTTGATGTTTGAAGACTCTTCTAATAAGATTCAGTGATTCTTTGATTCAGCATTCCCTTAATGTATCTTAATAAATGTGTATTTCAAGATGAGTTTACTGCATATAACTTGAGATTTAATACTACTGAATATTTTCTACTAGAAGAAATAAATCAATATCGACAGTCTTATAGTAAATTATCTATAAAACAGGCAAAATGGTCAGATCGGTAGCTTTGATAGAGTCAAATAGAGTTATACTGGATTCTTTGGGAGAGATATTAAAACAGCTTATCAGTAGTAAATTTACAAATTCCTAGCTTCATATACTCTTTGAAAAGTCATGCTTATTGGGT